TTCCCTTGCCTGGGGAGATATGTTCATGAAGAAGTCACTCATGTTTATGTCCATGAGATTTTTGCCTATGTTTTTTTCTAAGAGTTTTATGGTTTCATGACTTACATTCAGGTCTTTGATCCATTTGGTGTTTACTTTTGTGTATGGGGTTAGACAGTGATCCAGTTTCATTCTCTTACCTGTAGCTGTCCAGTTTTGCCAGCACCATCTGTTGAAGAGACCGTCATTTCCCCATTGTATGTCCATGGCTCCTTTATCATATATTAATTGATCATGTATGTTTGGGTTAATGTCTGGAGTCTCTATTCTGTTCCACTGGTCTATGGCTCTGTTCTTGTGCCAGTACCAAATTGTCTTGATTACAGTGGCTTTGTAGTAGAGCATGAAGTTGGGGAGCGAGATCCCCCCATTTTATTCTTCCTTATCAGGATTGCTTTGGCTAATCAGGGTCTTTCATGTTTCTATATGAATTTTTGAACTATTTATTCCTGTTCATTGAAGAATGCTGTTGGTAATTTGATAGGGATTGCACTGAATCTGTAGATTGCTTTGGGCAGGATGGCCATTTTGATGATAATAATTCTTCCTAGCCATGAGCATGGGATGAGTTTCCATTTGTTAGTGTCTACTTTAGTTTCTCTTAAGTGTGTCCTGTAGTTTTCAAGGTATAGGTCTTTCACTTCCTTGGTTAGGTTTATTCCTAGGTATTTTATTGTTTTTGATGCCATTGTGAACTGTAAACTTTTTTAAGACTGTGAGAAGCTACCAACCCACGGTCCCCGCTGCCTCACGGGTACTCTGCTTCTCAAAGGATCTGCTTACTATACTAACGGCCACCCCTACTGCCTCAGGTGTCACCTCCACTTGCCTCCAGTCCTGGGGTGGGGCCCAATCCTCTAGGAGGCAAGCCATCTCAGACCACATACCCATTGAGGGCACTCCACACGCCCCCATTCACAGGGGCACCCTGCTGAAGCACCCCTCCCATAAGTGCAGCCTTTTTCCTTGGTCAACAATGAACCCTGCAGACTTTCACCAATTGTCTTGCCAATGGGTTTCAGCCCCAGGAAGTTCACTATGGATTCGATGTGACCAATGAAAATGACAGCAAAACATTCTTGGGGTGAAAAGGTTATACCAAACTTTACTTTCACAGTGGCAGGTCTGTCACTAAAATCCCATTCACTCAGTGTGAGTCTGCATGCAGCAAGCCGGTCTCTGCCTCTGGGTCCCTCTGTCCGCACAGCCATCCTCTGGGCCCCTCTGCACAGTTGTCCCACATAGCTGTCCTCTGGGCCTCTCTGCACGGTCATCCTGCACAGCTGTCCTCTGGGCCTCTGTCCTCAGCACTGCCACCACTCCAGCCTCTGCTCTGCTCTCCTGCAGCCTTGCAGCCCTGCCACAGTGTCATGCCTAGAGCACTGGGCAGAGCTGCTCTTTTTCTTTTTGGTATCATTAATCTACAATTACATGAGGAACATTATGTTTACTAGACTCCCTCCTTCACCAAGTCCCCCCCACATACCCCATTAGTCACTGTCCATCAGCGTAGTAATATGCTGTAAAGTCACTACTTGTCTTCTCTGTGTTGCACAGCCCTCCCCATGCACCCTCCACATTATACATGCTAATCATAAGATCCCCTTTCTTCTCTCCCCCCTTCTCCCTCCCTCCCTTCCCATCCATCCTCCCCAGTCCCTTTCCTTTTGGTAACTGGTAGTCCATTCTTGGGTTCTGTGATTCTGCTGCTGTTTTGTTCCTTCAGTTTTTCCTTTGTTCTTTTTTTTTAAAGCTTAAAATCTTTGTACAAGTGCTTTTTATTATTATTTTTTAAAAATTTAATTTGGTATCATTAATCTACAATTACATGAAGAACATATGTTTACTAGGCTCCCCCCTTCATCAAGTCCCCCCTACATACCCCTTCACACTCACTGTCCATCAGCGTAGTAAGATGCTATAAAATCACTAGTCTTCTCTGTGTTGCACAGCCCTCCCCATGCCCCCCCACACTATACATGCTAATTGTAAGGCCCCCTTTCTTCTTCCCCACTTCTCCCTCCCTTCCCACCCATCCTCCCCAGTCCCTTTCCCTTTGCTAACTGTTAGTCCTTTCTTGGGTTCTGTGATTCTGCTGCTGCTTTGTTCCTTCAGTTTTTCCTTTGTTCTTATATTCCACATATGAGTGAAATCATTTGGTACTTGTCTTGCTCCGCCTGGCTTATTTCGCTGAGCATAATACCCTCTAACTCCATCCATATTGTTGCAAATGGTAGGATTTGTTTTCTTCTTATGGCTGAATAATATTCCATTGTGTATATATACCATCTCTTCTTTATCCAATCATCTACTGATGGACACTTAGGTTGCTTCCATTTCTTGGCTATTGTAAATAGTGTGGGCAGAGCTCTCTTTATAGAGTCAACAGCCATGTATTGCCAACAGGTGTGCAGTGAGCTAGTCAACCACAGCCAGGTGAGAATCCTGGCCACAGCAACTCTCTTTTTATCCATAGCAATAAACCTTTAAACCTCTTTACCCATTCCCTTGGATCCTCTAGATAATGCAGAGATGGGAATGGCTTTGCTGGTCCCATTGCATAGAAGAGGAAACTGGGCTTGAAAAAAGTTAAATATCCCTCTTAAGTAACCTGAAAATTCATGTATGTGTGCTATTCCCTGACATCAGGACAAATTAGTCCAGGACAAAAATAAATGGCATGTGCTTCCCCATTCCTTTTCATCCCATTCGGGTTTAGTTGTTTTGAGTGGGTACAACAGGGTTGGGTGTGTGTGCACCCAGGTGTGATTGCTGTGTCTGCCCCAGGTGTAAATGGCCTGGGAGGTAGGATGGGAAGGGGGTGAGTGCAGTGCAGGTAGATAGGAGAGACCCAGGGTGGAAAACTGAGAGCTCAGTACAAAGTCATGTTTAGAATGCATGTAGAAGTGTAAGGTTGCCAAAAACTCCTCAAATTTTGCCTCTGCCTTTAGGAACTGTGAGGGAGAGGGGAGCCAGTCTGGCATCTGTTGCCTGTGCCTCCCTAAGAGCTCCGAGCCTTTCCATGGTGTCTTGCCTGAGGGTTTCAGCCCTGCACAAGTTCCCTATGGATTCAAGAGACTAAGAAGCGACAACAGAACGTTTTGGGGGTAAAAGGTTTTATACCCAGCTTTAGTCTCCCGGTGGTAGGTCGAGCACTAGGATCAAGTCTGCATCCAGCAGTCTGCAGGTCCCTAATCCACCTCTATCTCTACCTCCACCCAGAGCACTGGGTGGAGCTCTTTATTAGTGACTCCGTCAATAATAGCTCATTGCCTATGGGTGTGGAAGCATTAGCTTAGCACTAGGCCAATTACATCATCAAGTAGTTTAGAGTAGGGTGAGGATCCTGGCCACAGGAACTTCCATTTTCCCCACACATGGTATGTGTGTCAACTTCACTGTGCCTGTGGGACAGGCCACCGTTTCTAACAAGAAAATGGATAGGCCTGGATAGGTGACTTGCTCTAGGGTCACAGGGGGAGTAGCAGCCCAGGGTTTAGGTCAGAAAGCTCAGGGTTGCCTTAGGCTGTGTGTGAAGGGGGAGAAGAGCAGAGAGAAAAGCTCATCCAACTTTTACCAATTGTTCTCTGGCTGTGGAGTGCCTTGAGAAGAGCAGCAGAATAGCAATTGGGAGTGTGGTCTTTGCAGTTGAGCAAATCCAGGTTTATTCATGGTTCTGCCACTTTCCAAAAATGACACTCTGGGCAGGTAATTTAACCTCTCTAAGCCCAATTTTCCTCATCTCTAAACTGGTTTCAATAATATTTCCAACTCATAGAGTTGGAGTGAGGATTAAGAGAGATGATTCAAAAGGGTAAGCACTCAAATCTGAGCTGTGGTGGTGGTTATACACAGAGGCTGCAAAAGCCCCCTGCTCACACCGCTTCCTTCTCATTTTTTTTCCACCCAGATGTGGAGGTGAATGGACAGAACTGGACCTTTGCTTTTGATTTCTCCTTCCTGAGTCAAGCAGAGGACCTGGTATGGGCTGAGCTGCGGCTGCAGCTGTCCAGCACTGTGGACCATCCCCCTGAGCTCCCACTGTCCATTGAGATTTTCCACCAGCTGAAAATGGATGCAGAGCAGGACCCAGCCAACTGCCTGGAGCATCTTCAGATGGACCTGTTCACTGTCTCTCCATCCCAGGTTACCTTTTCCTTGGGAAGCATGGTCCTGGAAGTGACCAAGCCACTCTCCAAGTGGCTAGAGCACCCTGGGGAGCTGGAAGAGCAGATGTCCAGTCTGGCTGGAGACTGCCGGCAACGGCCTCCCACACCCCCTGTCACCAATGTGCTCCTTGTGCTCTACTCCAATCTGTCCCCAGAGCAGAGGCAGCTGAGCAGCTCCACCTTGCTGTGGGAAGCTGAGAGCTCCTGGCGGGCCCAAGAGGGACAGCTCTCTCAGGAGAGGGCCAGGAGGCTCCGTCGTCATCACCTGCCAGACAGAAGCCAACTGTGTCGGAAGGTCAAGTTCCAGGTGGACTTCAACCTGATTGGATGGGGCTCCTGGATCATCTATCCCAAACAGTACAATGCCTATCGTTGTGAGGGCGAATGTCCAAACCCTGTCGGGGAGGAGTTCCATCCAACCAACCATGCATACATCCAGGTGTGATGCCAAGCCACAGAGGAGGAGGCAGTGGCTGGGGAGAAGTGGTTGTACTGCTGGATTGGGGGGACAGACTCCAACTTTGCTATTAAATTGCTGTATTCATTCACTCAGTTATTCAAATACCTACAAAATGCCAGGTCCTGTGCTAGGTCCTAGGATAGAAATGACCAGTGGTGACATCCTCAGAGAGCCCATGTGAAGTCATCCCCCACTGAGTAATCTTGAACACATGCTTCCCTAGGCCTTCTTGTCTTTCATAAGGTAGGGGTAGAGAGTGTAGACTAGAGGTTATCAGCTCCATCAGCAACTCCTCAACGCTGACATTCTGGGAAAGATCAGAATCTGGACACTGGGGATAGACAGGCCTGGGTTTGATTCTTACATATTAGATGTATGATATTGATCAAGTTGTATATTCTCTCTCAGCCTCAGTTTCCCCATCTGTAAAATGCAGATAGCAATGCCATATTTCATAGAGATGTTGTGGAATTAAATTGAGATGTTATGCATACCCCATGTATAGTTGGTGGCAGATAGCAGGCACGTGTGATGTTGTATCATTACTAAAAGTCTCTGATTCACTGATGAAACATGGGCCATGTTTATGGACATTCATTTTCCAGGAGTAGATAAGGCCAGAGGCTACATGCAGATGCCACTAATCAGCCTAAGGTCTAGAAGGTGGTGGAGGGAGAGGAACAGGAGGAGAATGAGATGGAGAGAGAAGAGAATAGAGTCTAACATGGTGGCCCTGATAGTACAGGTGGCCCTGCCTTGCTCTCAGATGTCACATGGAACAAACATACTGTTATCTTACCCCATGAAGCCTAGAATGAGACTCTTGAACCTGTAGTACATCTTTCATGCCAAGCCTCAGGTGGGGTTCCAAGGCTCTGAGCTCATGCCAGGAAGCACTGGTAGAGGGCAAAGCCCTAGAGGACCAGTCCTGGCAAAGGCCCTCCCAGGGCTCTGCCAGGCTCTGCTTTGCCCCACCAACCTCCCTGCTGTGTGGTCAAAGGGAACTGAGATACTAAGTATGATAATAATAAGGGAACTGAGATAATAAATAAGATAGTAACAAAGAAGCCCAGATAGTCCTAGTCGCCAACTCTGACACTGATCTGAAAAGATATTGCTGGACCACAGGGACAGGGCCCAGTTCCAGAATGCCAGCGGGTTCTTACCTTTTCTCCTATTGACTCTGTTTGCCCTTCTCTGGGCAACCAAACAAGTCCCACAAGAATTTTCACATGACTCTTTTCTGCTTCATTTTTCTGGAGCTCAACCAGGAATTTCTTGGAACATTTTTTAAATTGATATTCACTCTAGACGAGAATAATAGATCAGACAAGTTAGCTACTGTTCTACCCAGATAAAGCTTTTGGAATCTTCTGTTGAGCTTTTTTTTTTTTAACAGCCTTCAAAGTTATTTTAAACATTAGAGTTGATGTACTGGATTGCTGATTCCTTTATGAAAACAATTTTCTTCTATTTTTGTATCCAGAAGCTGATTTTAATTTTTTTTCCAGAGTCTGCTGAAACGATACCAACCCCACCGAGTGCCTTCCACTTGCTGTGCCCCAGTGAAGACCAAGCCATTGAGCATGCTCTATGTGGACAATGGCAGAGTCCTTCTAGAGCATCATAAAGACATGATTGTGGAAGAATGTGGATGCCTTTGAAAAGATCCTGGAGGGGTGCTGGATTTGCCTGTACTCTGGAAGTTTGGGAAGCTCCTGGAAGACACAGTAACCATCAAATCCACTGAGGAGAAACAGAGGGAGAAAAGTTGCTCTGTCTACCAGATCTGAGGAAGGGCTGCCCTCTCTGTAAATGAAAACTGTGGAGTCTGACTAAACAGAGGCCACTGTCAGGAGAGGGAAGAGCAAGCCTGTGAAGTGGACTTGTTGGATTTTTCTGTTTGCTGAAAAGATAGTGGCAAGTAAAAGCACTAGTCTGAGTTCTTTACCTGATTTTTTAAATCTGGTGAACCCCAAAAAATTGTATGCAGAAGTTGGGGTATAATGCACATTTATTTTTAAAGTGGGACAAGGTTATCTATAACTTTTATGTATTCTCAAAAGTGGTCTTTGACCCCCACCCCTCAAGATTAAGGATAACTTAAATTATAAATGGTCAGCATATAGTTTATAATTGCATGAGGCTGGTTTAGAGGGGCCCCCACATCCTTCTGGCTGGCCAGTGGCAATCTGTTGGCCTTCTCCAGAGGCTCCTTGGAGTGAGTCTCTCCTAATGAGTTGTACAAACAGCAAAACCATTGTAAAGCCCTGAAAGGCCAGCTGGTGCCTTTGAAGGGAGAGGCGGGAATTGGCCAAGAGAACTGGCCACGTTGGACTACAGAAGCTGCAGTGCTCAGCCATCCCTGCGTCAGCCTGCTCTGGCAGACACAATCTGAGTTTATTAAAGTTGGTGACAGTTTGCTTCAGTCACTCATTGAATGCTATTAATGAGGCCCTAAGCTCCCTAACCAGCAGGGATTGAAGGCCCTGCCCTGATACTTGGGTATGGTCACAGCTTAGCCACTGAGAAGTTGTATGACCTCAGGTGAGTAATTCCCTGCTCAGCCGCCTCCTCACATAAAAGGGAAGTGGGTGAACCCTAATGCATTCCTGTTGAATACCTGTTGGCAGGTGCAAAAGCCTGAGTTTTAAGCCATAGATTATCCTCTGGGCCTCATTCCTATCCCCCTCTAAAGCTTATGAAGCCTGTTAAACCCAGGTCCTGCCAGAACTCCATTATTTACCTTTTCAGCTCTTGTTGCTCAGGGTTCTAGGATTGGCTTAATTACAGGTTCCACATGACGGCACAGCAAAGAGAACCCAAGCTTGTAGGAAGCTGCCACCAAGCTGAGCACAAGTCTTGGCCTTTTGAATAAAAAGGCCCCAAAGGCAGCAAGCCTGCTCTCAGCTGACTTTGTTGAGCACTGACAAAACAGGCTATTTCTTTTTGTTTGCCAGGGTGAGGTGGCGTTATATTAGGAAAAGTCCACAATAGATCTACCCCTGCTTTTCAAGAAGCCTGTTGACTTGAGCCCCTGCCTTAGGAAAATGATTCCAATCATGTGGGAATCCCTACTGAGCTTAGACAAAACTCACCTGCAACCTTGGTTAAGTAAGGGCAGGCAGGGGTTGGATAGGCTAGAGCCAGGCCATGAGAAACCTCAGTGCCCTGATTCAGCAGCAAAGCTGATCCAGCTGCTCCTTTCCGGGAATGGAAATAGCCCTGCCCTAACCACAATTCAGAATCACAGTGGATTCTGTATCCAACCCTACTTAGAAAATAGAGCTGGGGAGGCCTTGTGAGGTCAGCTTTTGTTCCATCCTGTCATAAATGAGACCCCAGAGGCCTAGTGGCCTGACCACCCAGCTAGGTGTGGCAGGGTCAAGAGCTCAGCTCTGTTCTCAAACCACAGGGGCATTGTCTTTAATAGCATCTAGAGGTTTTTGCTCCCCTAGCTTTGGGTCAAGGTCTTAGCCTTTGGAACCAAACATTTGGACCCAAGCCCACACTACCAAACTGAAGGTCTTGGGAGTAAATATCCTGGTCCTGGAGATGAAGAGCATCTTTACTAAGTAGGTGCTCACTAGTTCTGTGGCCAGGGCCAGGAAAGCGAAAGGTCAAGCTATTTGTGGCTACAGCTTGTGGGAGTGCTTACAGTTAGCAGCTTTACTGACTCAGAGTACAAACCTCACTGACAAGGCATTGCCTTCTAGTAAGATGCAGGCCCAAAGGAGGGAAATTCCATTTTGCTGACCCCTGCTGAACGCTCTGGTCATTCTGCTGCTTGGCCAAGGGTATTTGGGGCCAAGCCTAGCAACACAGGTCTGTGCTGTAGACACTGTGTTCTAGGAAAAGCGTTTAAGTCTGGGAAAAGCGTCGTAAGTCGGAGGAAATACTGCCTCTGAGAACTGAGTCCTGCCCTAACCTGTGGGCCAGGAAGGGGCTTTTATAGAAGTCAGTTAACTTCCTCTCAAGGTAAGGTCTGCTGCCAAGTCAGTAGCTGAGTGGAAAAACATGGATGCGTTACTTTCCCTGGATGGGAAAGCGGTGGGCCTAGCAGTGGGTAGGAGTGGGAAAAAAAGGGAAGTCCATGCATGAGAGCAGCAGAAATATGGGATATACAAGAGATGGAACAGCCTCTCATAGCACTAGTTCAGGATTTACCTCCACCTTGTAAAGCCTCCACTTTTATTAGCATTAATTAAAGCCCTTATCCCTCTATCCTAAGTTGCCAAGTTAATATACTACTTGCCTTTGCGGCAGAGTAAAGGATATATGAAAGTTCTTTAAAAATGATTTTGGCTCTACTTCCAGTAACGGATTCTTTAGTCCTAGAGGTCCCACAACTGGGTGATGGCTGCAATCAGGCCTTCTCCACTCACAAGCTTGCACCAAGATTAGCAGAGACCCAAATGACTGACCTATCATGCCATCTGGGCTGTGTTGATGCTTATCTGACTCCTAATGTATCAGGCCAGTTGGCTAAGCATCCCCGTGATCCTACATGAGCCTCACAACCACTCAGGAAACTTACACTATTTTAGAGAAGGAAAGCGAGGCTTATAAAGTTTGTCCTGTTAGAGGGGATGTGGCTAAGCTGCACAGCTGGCACTCAAGACTGCAAACTCTATCTTTGTGCTGTCCTGACAGGAAAACATTTCAGGGCCAGTTTATTCTGTGCATCTCTGTCCCCATCTGAAACACAAAGGGCAGAATTCTTCTCGACACTGGTATGTTGAGACTCACTGGATGAACAGCAAGGAGTCTTGATGCTTGCATGGCACGTCCTAGTTTCAGACATGTGGAGGATTTCTAACAAGTACCCCTGAGGGGCACTGGTGGCCCTCTTCAGAAAAAGGAAAAGCTGTTCGGGCTTCCCTGAGGCTGGTACCCACACAAGGGCTTCCTTGGGTGTATCTGGCCCCTGTGTGTACATGTTCACCACCAAGTTCCCAAGGAAAGGAATACATCACCTCCTTGCATACACAGGGCCAGATGGACTGTGCTCCGTAAGTGTTGAGAAAAACCGACAGTGGCCAACTGCCTTTGCCCAATTCCCACACTAGCCAAGACTCAAAATGTGAAACAAACAGGATTTCACCTGAATTTTTTAAAAAAATTAAACACCAAAGTGATACTCAAGATCTTTATTGATTTAACTGTAACAGCAACCATTGGTGAAAATTTAATTTTTTCCCTTATTTCCAAACCTGCTTGGTTTGGAAGGACAGTTAAAAAATAGATGAATCACAGAATCACACAAGACTGCCTGAGGACTGCATGGTGCCCTTTGCTATCCACCCCCTGCAGTGGAATGGATGGGAGGGGCAAGGAGATGACCGCATGGAGGGAAACGAAGGGAAGACCAACTACTGGCAGTCTCCGCTTTTCCATTCAGAGTGGGTGGAACTGGGCTACTAAGACAGGGAAGGGCATATTTTGAATATATAAATATTTAAAAGATGTTTAAAATGGACACCTGAATATGTATCCTCTGGGCTCTCCAACACACTTCTTTAAAAGTTCACCCCTGGGGTAGCAGAGGCTGTGAGGTGCAAAGTGATGGGCTCCGTCTTCAGGTGAAGGAAAGGCACTGGCTCACAGGACTCAGTGACATGGCTTACAGACACCAGGAGCAAGATGTATCACCTGCACAACTTGCCCCCTATCTCTGCATCGTTCCTCCCCCAGTCCCCTGGTTCAAGTAAAAATTACCCTTGGCTTGGACTTGGTTTTTTAAAGATTAAGATGGAGAGGAAGGGGGTACACCTTGGAGCAAGAATGGCTATTCTGTGCTAGACACATGGAATTATCAAGTTTGAAGTGTCCAGGAATTCTGGTCTTAAGCACCAACAAGAGTTTCCTTGGGGAATTTCAACATGGCTAAATGATTATCAAGCTTTGGGCATCTCTCTGTTAGCCTACAACTCTTAGAAAGGTAGCAGAGTAAGAGTTTAAATACCCCAGGAAATGTGTTTCATCTCAGTAATATTTGGCATTCAGCATCCGGGGCATCCAGTATGTTCTGCCAGGGCTTCAGGCAGAGATTAAAGAGAAACCACAGATAATCGGACAATTGGAACAGTGACTTGAAAGATTTCTGAATCTAAGCTTTGCCAAAAGGTATCAACATCTAGGACTAGCCCAGAGGAAGAAATTTAAATCCCAGAGGGTGAGAAAGGTGACATGATAGACTGTTCGAAAAAATAAGTATGTATCAATCACCCTTAGAGTCTTCAGTAAGAAATTTCTGTGAGCTATCCTCAAGGAAACTCCAATACTAAACTCGAAAATCATCACTAGAACAGGACTGCCCCTGGGCATAAGTATTCAAAAAGAACTGTGACCCAACTGCCTCAAGGTCTGATTTCATCTTTTATTAGAAGTTGAGAGGTAAAGAACTTGGGGAGAGGAGGACGGGGACCATCCCCCCTTCAAAGTCCAGGCAGAAATGCCCTCCAATAATGCTTCTTTAAAACAAACACTGCCCCCTCCCTGATGTCACAGGTAGGTAAGTGATTGGGTTTCGCAGATTAATAAATAGCTGCCCATATACACGAAGTTCGGAAACATGCCAAATAGGGGATTTCTGACTCAGAGGCAGCTGGCCTCCTCTACCAGGGAATGCTAAAGATCCTGGCTTCAAGCAGCCATGATGCTTGACACCCCATTGAGTATCCAAGATGGGGAGAATGGAAAAAGTCTGTTTCTGGGATATTGCCCACATGAAGAGCCCCTTACACAATTCGCCTTGATTTAAAGCAGGCACGTATTATGTACTGGCTGAATGATAGACTCTGAGGGTGAAACCCACACAGGATGCATCCTAACGGAAATGTTTAAACTGGGAAGGTAAGGTCTGTGAGTCCAAAAGAGCTGGTAACCCAAACAGCAAAAAATAGAAGTCCATCTGTTTTGACTTTACCTCCAAATCACAAGCAAAACACAAAATTCATCTGAAGATGCTTTAAAGGTGAGTTCCTTGCTTCTGGAAGAAGTACCTTTTCCTTAAAGCTGCCCCAGCAGCAGTGCTTCTTACTCAAATATACTCTAAAGTAAGCAGGGCAACAGATTAAGAAAATGCTGGGAAGAGGCAGAGCTTATATCCAAATGAGAATTTGCATCTTTAAGGTGTCTGAAATCTCTAAAACCTTAGACATGGGTGCCAGAAACACAGCAGACATTCATTAAGGATGTGTTGAACTCATAAGCCTCATATAAGTTTCTCTTGAGGGTAAAGACAGGGCTCGTCCCCTTTAAGATCACATTTCCAACTGGAATTCCAGGACAAGGCAGGCATGCAGAGTTAACCTGCAGACTGGATTTAAAGGAACAAACAGGTACTGATAGATGTTTCTAATTCCCAGATGTTTCCTACTTCATTAGAAGTGGCTTCTTGGGTGAAAGACCTGACCTAGATCTGTTTCAGCTGGTGTGACTGGAGAGACCAGGTGCCACGCAGAACTCTGGTGGGCACCTGGCTTCCAAATGGTATCATCTATTTCACCCGAATCTGAACTATCAGCTTTTCCTTAGCTCACTAACCCAACATCTAATTCACATTTGTTCCCTTTGCTTGACAACCCCAACTCCAATAAAGTCAGCTTTAGTGATTCAGCTAGAAGAATCCAACTCCGTTTGCCAATTCCTGGATAAGGGAGATGCAAGTAAGTGGTGCTGAGTCTTAGAGACACCAAGCCGAGGACTTGCAAAGAAGCATTCTTGGGCTGCTGGTAGTCAGGCAAATGTATGGATATTCATCTGGAAATTGCGATTTCTCACACTCTTTTCAAAGCAACAGGTGGCTTTGGGGAAAGTCTATCTTCTATTCTAGTTTGGTGATGAATGCTTTAATGAAATGTTCTCAGTAGCAACATAGCTCTCAGCATATCATCCAGTTTAATCTTCGCCCCCCTGTTAACCTGGCTTAATCTTCTGTTAGGAGTGAGGTGGTCTTAAGACCTATCCACAAATGCTTTGATACTGCTTCATTCAGTGGGTGGGGTTTAATTCCCTGCACCCAGAGTGTAGGCTGGGGTTAGCGGCTTGGTTCTAAGGAAGAGAATAAGGAGTGAGTGGTAGTGTGCTTTCAGAGACCATCATAAAAGGCACTGCAGATTCCTCCCTGCCCTCTCTCTGGGGTCACTCACACAGGGAGAGCCCAGCCAGCAGCCATGGTGTGAAGTCACTTGTGCTGCCCTACAGAGAGACCCACACAGGGAGAAACTGAGGCATGCTGCCAACAGTCACAAAGAGCTCAGAAGTGAATTCTCCAGCTCCAGATGACTACAACTTCCTGAGATTCTATGCCAAAACCACCATGCTCAGCTGCTTCCCAGTTCCTAACACACAGAAGCTGAATGACAATATTTGCTCTTTTAAGTTTGTGGTAATTTGTTACACAGTGATAACTAATGCAGATAAATGGATAAAACTTTTGGCCTAGCAGCCCAATACCTAGATGCCAGCTTCTCTACACTGGTCTTGAGAAAGCTATAGCTATTTAATCAGAATATGAGGAAGTCGTGAACTCAATGAACGATGCTGTAAAGAAGGCAGAACCATGACAATGCAGGTCTCCTGCTGGAATTTTTCATTAAGGTGGACTGTCCCCAGAGTAACATGGTTTCCTCATGAAAAGAAATATACAAATGATTACCAAGATTTTAAGAACTATCTCACTCAAATGGTACCCTAAGGGTGTCCTCTCACCAAGAAAAAGCTGGGATAAATTATTCATTTAGGGTTTCATTTGTGAGGTGCCTTCCAAACATCCAGAAGTAAACCTACTGGGTTCTGGCTTGTCCCATGAAGCTTGGCATAAAGTGTCATCTGTTGGAAGTCTATCTGTTGCCTTATGAAATGATCTTTAAAATGCCCATTTTATGGAGACCAAGGTAACACTAGCAGCAGTGGCCTCTAGGAGAAAACTATGCCAAGCAGTACAGAAGTCCCTGCAGAGAAGGCTAAGGGATTGGTCAGCTTCTGTATTATACAGGTGACACTCCCAAGAAATGCTTAGAAACGTGGTTTCTAACTAGAGGGCCACATGAAGAGATTCCCCAAGATAGCAAAAAGGGGGAGGCTTCTTGATATCACACTGGTGTGTTTTAAATCCACTCCCCACCATTAAGAAAGCCAAGTTTTCATGGGTGGCAATAAAAATCAAGAAGGGGCGCCCTTCTGCTCAGTGACAGACTGACCAGCTGTAGCTGGAGTCAGAGTCCACAGAATGCCAAGCCCCGGGTATGAAGAATGGAAAGCGTCATTCCCAAAGAATCAAGCTCCCAGAGGACAAAGAGGTCCTGAGTAGGCTTCTCATGCAAATTACAGTGCATCTTCCAAGTTTTTCCAAGAGTATGTAAAGCAAAATTGGAGTTTAATTAAAATCAGAACAAGGGCACGTTTAACAACAAAAAAAAATACCACTTTTCTGATCATCAACTTTTGAGAGTGAAAGCATCCCCAAAACTTTGGAGATCCAGCTTATTCCTGAGACATCAAACATCACGAAAGGTTTTATTCTTTGAACTACTCACATTTTTTAGCAGAAAACAGAACAGAGTTCCTCAGACACCCTTCCTCTCTTCTGCCTAAAATGCATTAGCAAACAAGGTCTTTTCACAGTTCAAAAAAAAACAGCTTTCTTTCTTAGCCAATTGGCCTGTTACTCTCACCCTGGGATCTGATCTCTTAGTAAGAGGGTTCAGGGCACCAAATGCAACCAAAATTCCCAGGACACCAGTAGCTACTTTGTCTTTCTACGAGGGGATGGAGGCATTAGTCTTTCTATGAGGGAAGTCACTTCTCAGGATTATTGTGCCAGTCAATAGTCAGGAGAGCAGAAAGGGGAGAAGGGAAATGAAAAAGCAAACAGTAAGGGAAAAAAAGAATGTGGCTTTCATGAACAACCCATGGCAAGGCAGAATGGTCCAGTTTTACAAACCACCCACTATAAACTCCAAACATGCACACCCAAAACTGGGGTGGGGTGGGGTCCAGTTTTACAAACCACCCACTATAAACTCCAAACATGCACACCCAAAACTGGGGTGGGGTGGGGTCCAGTTTTACAAACCACCCACTATAAACTCCAAACATGCACACCCAAAACTGGGGTGGGGTGGGGTACAAGAGCTCGTAAGGGACCAGGGGAGACAAAGGATGGTGACATGGAACAGCCGACTTGCCTATGAACATTTCTCACCTTCCTAATACTGGAAGATGTGTAATTAAAAAGTTGCTGTTCAAAACTGTACTGAAAACATATCTAAAAATAGGTCTGTAATCATCTTAAAAATAAAAGGTCACTCCTCAGACAAGCGGAGTGACAGGTATCAGATACCAATACTTGAGGTATCTTTGATGTATCTTTGAAAAATGGCCTGGCAGAGAAAAAAGGAGAGAAGAGGGAGGGGAAAAAAAGAGAAAATTCAGAGTATGATGGGGAAGCCAAGAAAACACATTTTTAAGCCCATGTTTTTCTATCTTAGCAGCCAAAGCAGGTCCACAAAGGAAAAAAGTTTAGTTCTTTTCTAAGAACATTCCAAAAGTCAACTTTAAGCTCAAAATATAAGAAATGACAATCAGAGATAAAAGATATCATGATGCCCACTGGACTGGAAAACAATGAGAACTGAGACTGGGTATGCAAATGGCTCAGCGTTCTTCTGAGGTCATTCTGAGGTTATCTGGCAGAATACTATGATCAGGCCTCATCAGTGTCCATTATTTAGTATGGACCTGCTCTGGGAGCAAGTGAAAATCACCTGGATAGTTCAGAGTACGGGAGGACTACGAGCAACAAGATGCAAGCAGGGAGGAATGGGAGAAGAGGAAACGCACCTCAAAACTGTCACAGGGTAATGTTACCAGAGTTGTACAAACAGCGCTCTGTCCCCAAGAACAAACACTTCAAGGTAAAAGGAGAGAAGCTCTTGTCTGTCATTTCCCTCTGAAGACACCAAGCCCAGATTCTTGTAGTACTGAACGATGGGTGGGAGACAGAGCGATGACAATAAGAACATAAATAATGCTGAACCCACTAGACCTCTTCCCCAGTAATCACTTCCCCAGATTAGAACATAAATAATGCTGAACCCACCAGACCTCTTCCCCAGTAATCACTTCCCCAGATTACGCAGCCAAGCAATTGTTGGTAGGCTGATATCTGATTTGGGATTAAAAAAATAAAAACAGGGGGAAGGGGAGTGTTGGAAAGAGGGGTGATGTTTTCTTAATAGTAAAATGGAAAGGAAGCTAGATTTTAACTGTTTTTCCTCTGTGGGCTGTAGACAGAAAAATGCAAACAACCTTAAATCTAAACTGGTAACAGGAAATGGTCAGCTGAAGCTCATCTTCGCATCATTTGGCACAAGAGGAAGGAGGAGGTGGAGACTGCAATGGGGACTACTGGGACTGCCTCTTCTATCTTGTCTTCATTGATCCTAATGGCCAAATCAGGTACACACAGGAATCAGTTGCTGCTGTTCTTCTGATCCTTGCCGGGACAGTCAGATGTCCATCTCAAACTGAGCGTCATCCCCTAGTTGGAATGAAGAAAAGAAGTTTAGCATAAAAAGAAAAGGCAAAACTGTAATTCCCTCTGTCCAATGGTCAAAAATAATTCAAGCCATCCCATTCTCTAAAACAACTATTCTGCTTTGCTTTGGCTGGTCTTTTTAATCTGGGGGAAAAAAAAAAGAATATCAGTCAAATCACCCATGGCGAGGAGCAGCTGGAGAGAAGGGCACACATGAAAGCTTTCCCAGAGTCCCTTTGTCCACAGGCTGACCAAAAGGAAGCTTCTGGGAGATCCTTGCCATCTACATTAGCACGCTCTCTCGGAGGCTTTAAACTTTAGCCCTGCTCTGAATTAACACTTTGTTCTTTAAAAACTCATTGGTATGTGAGGAGGCAGAATGCTGGCTCATGCACAGGGGTCACCAAGTGCAATCCGAGGAGCACTTAGGAGCTGGCCATTCCCACTTCCCTCTCCTGCTCCCACAGAGACAGAGAGGAATTATTACTAAGAGTGTGTGTCCCAGTGTATACTGGAATATTAGAGGCAGTCCTGGAAAATGGGGTAATGGACCATACTGCTTTCTTGAACACCATAAAACTGTCAATCTTCTTATAAGAAACAGTCTGTTTCCTGAGGGCAATGGGGGATATTAAATTCTGTTTTGTTTTCAGTGTGCCTGTTATACCGAGTCCACAAAAGCTCAGGATAGGCAATCCTCCAGGCCTCGTTCAAGGAGTTGTCTTTGGGATTCCCGGATTTTGGATCCTTTCCCTGCCACCCACAAGATTAGATTTTATTATTAATTAGAATTTAGGGTACTCAGAACATTTCGGTAAACTTTGATGAGGGGAGTAAGGGGAGGTGGTGATCTGAGAGCCATATAATGACACCAGTTATAACTGAAGTATCAACATTTTTTCAACCTAAAGCCAACTGACATTCGAATTCCTAAGGCCACCTCTCTTGGTTCCCAATACAAGTATTCTCTTACCAACTGCATGCTTCCTGTCATGATTGTTCAAGTTGTTCAAATTATTTACTTCTACTTTAGAGTCTTCAATTAAGGTGCCAGGGCTGGTGACTCCTGGGATATTGGGCAAATGGCAGGGTGGGGTCTGAGCCATGGGAGAATTGCGCCGATCCAACAGAAACTTCCGATCATAAATGATTCGGGTTCCTGGAAAACAGGGTTGAAAGGAGTTTGAAACAAATAAAGGGGTTTTCAACATATAAAACTACCCAGGAATTTCTCTCCACCATCTTACTCAATACACATCACCTATTAGTAGGAATCCTATTTTCTCTCTGAAGACTGTGAATTCCTTATGCCAGGGCTATGTCTAATTTATATCTGACCTAGGTCCTTACATTATTTTCAAAGAAGTTTTTTTTTTTAAACAAAGCAATGAACAAGTATGTGAAAAAATAGCCAACAGATAGCCATCTTTAGGTTAAAGACTTTCCAAAGAACGACTGAGACCGACATTCTTTCCAGCTATGGTAGAAGGTGGAATTGGCAGCCCTTCTCTATTTTACAAAACAATCTGCATGCATACCAGTGTGCTACCACAGTGCTTTACATTAGTTTTGAAGAGTGCCATAAATAGTTAAGAAATGAATAGTTAAGAAAATCGTGTGTAGGCATCTTGTTCACACTAGGCTTAAATTCAGAGAAGAAAAAGCCTACTTTAAGGGTTTAGGTATTCAAGTTAAAGGCACTATTGTATGAAAATAAAGCTATGTACAAAGTCACACAGTTTAAAGAGGTAGAATCTAAACACTACTTGCTGGTCAATGCTTTTAGATTCTCAAGTGAAAAGAAAGAATTTTCTTGTCATAATAAGGAGAGTCTGGTTCTGGCAGATTTCCTCAAACATGTGATAAACTATATCCCAGGAAACAGAACAACAAATAAAACAGCTATCAGATCTATTATGTATGTGAGAAAACAAGTATAAAAAAGCAAGGCATTTACTGCAAGAGGTATGGGATCTCTAGTCTTCCCAAAGAAGGAAGGAGATGAACCTTGAATCTAAAAAAATAATACCAACATTAAGCTAAATAGCTGGGAAGTGAGTTACAAACTGAATGGTTTTCTTGGGATTAATATATACATGGTACCATGACACTTTTATGCTAGTAAATAATTTCCTTTCACGTAGATGGAAAGTAGTCAAACTAGTGCCTTCCTAGTGAGTAAATGGCCACGAGAGACACTCTCCTCCACCCCCCACCATACTTGCTTTAACCAGAATCAAGTACTAAACACATTCTCCTCTGGGTAATATACTACAAAGTCAGTCACAAGAAAGAATGACTAAGTGTCTCAGAATGGAAGAATGCTCTCAGATTGGTATTTGTTAGCACATGAAGGCATTTCAAAACTAAGGCTTTCAAACCTACTCCAAAGTACATCAACTTTCTTTTCTAACTACCTACTTCTGTTGCAACTACACTACACACACAATTGTATTTATAGCTTATAAAAAGTAAAAAGAAAATATCTGACTTTCAGCCTCTCCATAATAAACTACTAAGAAATATTCTCGCAGATATATCTGCATCCGAACCATATAGGATTCTTGTATAAAACAGTTCTAACTGAATCAGAATCATTGGGGATTAGAACATAGAAATCTGTATTTCTAAATTCCCCAGGTTGTTCTTTCATTCAATAAAGAACCAAACATCATCCTTCCACCAAAAATCTAGTAACAGTGATTTAAAAATAGATGAAATATCACAGAATAAGTGAAAGAATGATGGAGAGGCTACAGAGATCATTCTGACAAATGGAAACTGAACCTGTGGTTTCCTGACTCCCCCGTCCAGCCCTTTTCCCCCTCTACCTAGTAGTCTCTATGATCTCCCTGAGTGGGAATTGGTTATCTAAAGTGAAAGGAGTGGAAAGGTAGCTGCTACTTACATATAAAATTAGGGTACACAGCAGATGGTACAGCAAGCAGTTTTACAACAAAGACCACCAGACATTTACTCTGAAGTGCCCCTTTTAAGGGGGTACAGGTTGGGGTGGAGGTTGTTACTGCCCCCTAGGGAGTGTTACAGAACTGCATGGAGGTGGGTTTTGTTTTTTAATCTTATAAACTGGCAAAGCTTAAATACTTAAATATTTTGTAAATTAGTTAATTCTTTTATTTCTCCTTATGTGACAGAGGAATATATAGTATTTTAAATTATGTGTGTAGGTGGTCATATAATCTAAGAAACTCATTTCATAAGAGTAAAGGGGAACAAGGAGTTAACATCCAAAAAGAACTCACACACCTCAATACCCAAAAAGCAAATAACCCGATTAAAAAATGGGTGGAGGATAAGAACAGACAACTCTCCAAAGAAGAAATTCAGATGGCCAACAGGCACCTGAAATGATGCTCCACATGGCTTATTATCAGGGAAATGCAAATTAAAACCACAATGAGATCACCTCACACCAGTTAGAATGGCCAACATCCAAAAGACAAGAAACAACAAATGTTGACAAATATGTGGAGAAAAAGGAACCCTCCTACACTCTTAGTGGTAATGTAAATTAATTCAACCATTGTGGAAAGCAGTATGGAGGCTACTCAAAACACTAATAATAGAAATATCATTTGACCAAGGAATTCCATTCCTAGGGGTTTACCCAAAGAAAACGAGATCCTAGATTCAAAAAGACATATGCACCCCTATGTTTATTGCAGCACTATTTACAATAGCCAAAAGATATGGAAGCAACCTAAGTGTCCATCAGTAGATGAATAAAGAAGATGTAGTACATATACACAACAGAATATTATTCAGCCATAAGAAGAAAAATCCTACCATTTGCAACAACATGGATGGAGCTAGAGGGTATTACGCTCAGTGAAATAAGCCAGGCAGAAAAAGACAAGTACCGAATGATTTCTCTCATTTGTGGAGTATAACAACAAAGCAAAATTGAAGGAACAAACAGCAGCAGATTCACACTCCAAGAAGGAACTAGCAGTTACCAAAGGGAAGGGGTTAGGAAAGGTGGGTGAGAAGGGAGGGAGGCAGGGAGAAGGGGATTGAGGGGCATTATGGTTGGCACACATGGTGTGTTTGTGGGTCACAGGGAAGAAGACAGTGTAGCACAGAGAAGACACGTAGTGACTCTTGCTACGCTGATGGATAGTGACTATGGTGGGGTGGGGGGGGTGGGGGGGACTCAACAATATGGGAAAATGTAGTAACCACAATGTTACTCATATGAAACCTTCATAAGATTGTATATCAATGATACCTTAATAAAAAAAAAAGTAAAGGGGGCATTACAAACTATTGGTAATAAAGGGAGACACTGGCAAAGATGATAACCTCTGAAGGACAGATGGCAGAAAAGAGGTTAACAGCTCTAATTACTATGAATGGCCCTGCTTTCACCTATAGGGCTAAATGAAACAGGCAAAGGCCAAAAACTACTTTTGGTGTTTTAGTCTTTTGGTCATAGAGTGGGCTAGAATTAGCTTCCTACTTTCACTGTTAGAAAGATTTAGACACAATGTCCCACAGCCCATTTGTGCCAGGACTTGACACCTTGATCTTAACCTTTGCAAAAGAGTTTTGCACACCTCATTCCAACCCTGTAAGAACACTTGGAAAAATAGGGAATCATTCATTTCTAGTTTAAGGAAGACCCAAGTCTTATAACCTGTCTCAAATACAATTTGGGGACAAGGAAAGTAGAAATTACCTTCACTCTTTTTGCTTTGAAAAACAAGCACTATAGTAACAACACAAAATGGCATCTGGAAATTATGAGGGATAAGTCATTCTGGACAGCAGTAAACTTAGTTCAACTTTCAGAAAGTGAATAATTTGAATTGTTTTGGATGAAAATTTTTCTAACACAAATCCAAAACTTTTTACCACCTTGAAAAGAAAACAATTTCAACCCTTTCTTGATGATCAGGGTCATTATTATGAAAATCATTTATTATACTATGTTGTGACCTAGGAAGTCTTGGGGCCTATTCAGTTGATGCTTTTTCCTTACCCTGTACAGAATTCAAATTGCCAAGGTTGTGCTAGTGCCCCTCTCTCCAGAGTGTCTGTCTCCTCCCTCACAGTTAGAACAAGAACTACCTTTTTCCCATGTCTTAGCTCTGGCTGCCATGAAAAAATGCCATAGACTGGGTGGCTTCAACAGAAATTTTCTCACAGTTCTTGAGAAGTCCAAGAACAAGGTGTCAACACAGTCTGCTCTGCTAAGAGCTCTCTTCTGGGTATGTGGCAGATAGCTGCCTTTCCATTGTGGCCAAACTGAGAGCAGAGGGAAGCAAGCTCTCTGGTCTCTCCTTGTAAGGGCATTCATGTCATCATGAAGGCCCCACTCTTACCACCTCATCTAAACCTAATCCAATTACCTCCCAAGGTGCCCCCTATCACCCAAATATCACATTGGAGGTTAGGCTTGAACACATGAATTTGGCGAGGGGGAGGACACAATTCAAAGAACAATTTGTAAAATAAAAGCAAACAGGCCAAGAGGGGGCCAGATGGCTCTGCAATAAACAAAGAGAAGGAGCTTCAGTGGATGGACTTTGCACATTTGAGTGTTACCCCCACTTTCCTTCATGGCTAGGTTTCAGAGGGGTGAGGTTTCACTGAGAGATGTTCTTAACTAACATTCAACTTGCAGATCAGAACAAGATTATTCTCACTTCTGAACAAAACAGCAGTAGACTAAAAGACACTGAGAAGTGACTAGTGGTTACCAAGGGGGAGGGATTGGGGATAAAGAGGCACGATAATTTACCATCACAACATAAACTGGTCATGGGGCTGGCAGTACTGCATGGAGAATACAGTCAATGATTCTGTAATGTCTTTCTACATTGATAGTAACCGCACTAGAGAGGGTGAGGATTTAACAATACAAGTAACTGTTAAACCACTGTGTTGTACATCTGAAACCTATGTAAGATTGTGTATCAATGATACTTTGATTAAAAAAAAGATCATTCTCACTTCTGCACTACACCAAGCTTCGAAACTCGGGATGAGATGATGGAAAAAAGCACAGGATAAAAGCAAGTATTCTATTTCCAAATTATGTATTAGCATTAATATATGCATTAAAGAACTGTAATTGATGCAACAAGGAAATGAGTGGAGATTCTACCTGAATGTGTTCAGTATTAAGAGAAACTC